CGTGGCAATTAAAACCGAAAACGAATAGACACACACAGAGCCAACGTAATGGGGCTTGAATCGCTTTAATTTACACGCAAAAACGTTACTCTAAATTAGTATTATCGTTATTTTTTTGTTTTACAGAATCAACAATTACAGGTAACAATGTGGTCTCACCGCAACGTGGAGAACGGGCGCTTACGATTGGGTCGTTTGTCAAGGAGGAGCAGGGTGGAGTGGAGTGCACTCGCTCGGTCAGTCGTGATGGGAGCAACCGGGACCGACTCCGTGAGCCACCGATGAGAAATCGCGTCGATGCGTTCAAAGAAACGGCTCGAAAAACATCAACAAACAGTGTCCCTTGTTTCCGCGTCTCAACGAAGTGGCCTTCCAGCCCCTCGGCCTTTCGCTCGAGCCGCGTGCAAAGCGAGCGAACTCCGGCGCCCGACGTTTCGCCAACCCGGGGTCTCATCGGCAAGCTCCACCACGGAGCTACTCGCCGGGGGGCTTCAACGACGAACGAGACACGAACGTTAGTTTCGACCGGCGGCGGCGGCGGCGACGCACCATGTTCGAGATGACCGTTCGACGTTGGTAGGAGAGTTGGCGCTACCGCACCCGCTCGTGGCATGGCCTGCCGCTGGGCCAACTCGTGGTGGACGGGGCATATCCTGCGACTCCAGGACAGGGAAGGATGCGGCCTTCGAAACAAAATAACCGCGCGTGGTGGATGGAAAAGAAAAAACTACGAAATTTCGTTCATCGTCAACAGCTTTTCCACCATTGGTACCCCATTTGCCAGTAAAAAATATGATAATTGGTTTTTTACCCTTCCATCTGCCAACAAAACTGACACCTTTTTTTACGAGGAGTCATGTTTGCATAGACCACAATACCTGCAGTCATAATGCTTTTCCACCTTAGGCTTAATTGGGGCAGTCCCCGGCTCATGCAAGGGTTAGGTTCCCCAGGACGATCCGTAACCCCGGATTTTCCGCGTGTCGGAAACTAAACAAATCTCCCCTCCACCCCCCGAAAATCATCGATAAACATCCCAGAGCCGGCAATAGTTGTGGCCTCCCCTACTACCCGATGGCCGGGTTCGTTTTCTCCCAGCGCCGTGTCGCACTGTCGCCCCTCTTCTATCGCTTCCCACATCGTGTCGCTGCCCTCGTCATAACGCTGTCCGCATACGCTCCCCGCACCTCCTACGATTCTTTAATTTCACCGAATATCAAACACTACACCCCCCCCCCCCCACCATTATTAAACTCGTGCGTCCAGGAAACGAACGATGATGCGATGCTACAAAAGGAAAATAATCTCCGCAGCGCTACAAACAAACACGTTCATTCGGAGTGGGCAGGTAGGAGCTTGGTTGGACGGCGCATACGTGCGATCCGTGTCACGTGGCTATGCACGACAGACAGACAAATAATCCCTGGTGGGCAGTGTGGAACCTGTTGTTCCCACCTGTAAGAATCCCAATTCCCTTCATCCTGCCGAAGCTCGGTGAGGGTGGCGTTTTGGCGGAGCGACGAGCCGCGAGGCGGTCAGCCGATTTACGCCTCCTCGCCCCGCGGTGTTCATCCGCGCCGCACTACTTTGCGCTCGCCTAACTAACGCGGACGTTTTAGGCGTATTTAGTTTTTTAGTTTTTGTTTAACGCGACTCATGGGAGGGCGGGGGGGGGGGGCATTTGCCAAAGGTCGGATCTCCGTAAGTCCCCAGGGGTCTTCGGCAACCCGGGGACTTATTGGACTATAAAGTGAGGGATGTTTCGATTTAAAGCTTTCGTGACTGCAGGGATTCATCTTCTTGGTTCTTTCGGTAAAGTCACGTAGAGGGGAAATAATAAAATAATAAAAATAAAAACAATACAATAATATAATAATATAAAATATTATAATATATTATTTTATTATGTTTTATTTGTATTATTTTATTACTTCCCTTCTACGTAAAACATTATAAAATTATTTTATTTTATTATGTTTTATTTGTATTATTTTATTACTTCCCTTCTACGTGACTTTACCGAAAGAACCAAGAAGATGTAAGGGATGTTGTTTGGGACAGTCGACTTCTAACTTAAAAGTTAAACTCCACCACCGACATCGCGTTTTAAAAAGTACAAAAAATAATAAATAATAAATAACATAAATATTCAAAACGATTTGATAATCCATTAATTTAAAACGACAATAAATAAATATCTTAAACGATTTGATCATTAATTTAAAACGACAGTAATTAACACCCCCATCCTTGATAGGCAGACATGAATTCCCCCCTATCAACCTTTCACAACAACTGTCTAAGGATAAATCTCCTGGCCAAACAAGGTCTCAAACCGGAACCTGTAACATCGAGACCAATTGAAGACGTGGGACAGAACAGGGAGAAAGACTCTAGGACACGTGCTGAGGATGGAACCCGCTGAGTCCGTGGTGAAAACTCCCCCACGGTGGACACCACGAGAGAAGAGACCATGGGGCAGGCCGTAGACTGCCTAGCAACGCTCCGTTCTAGACAACTAAAGACCATGGGCCTGTCTTGGGGTGAGGCAGAGAAAGCTGCTAAAGACTGCCTAGGGATGCGCTGGTGGGTGCGGTGGTGGATGGGTGGATTGGTGGGTTTAGTGGTGGGTGCGGTGGTGGGTGCGGTGGTGGATGGGTGGGGTGGTGGGTTGAGTGGTGGGTGCGGTGGTGGGTGCGGTGGTGGATGGGTGGGCTGGTGGATGGGTGGGTGGGGTGGTGGATGGGTAGGGTGGTGGATGGGTGGGGTGGTGGGTGCGGTGGATGGGTGGGGTGGTGGGTTTAGTGGTAGGTTTAGTGGTGGGTGCGGTGGTGGATGGGTGGGTGGGGTGGGTTGGTGGGGTGGTGAATGGGTGGGGTGGTGGGTGGGTACGGTGGTGGATGGGTGGGGTGGTGGGGGCGGTGGATGGGTGGGGTGGTGGATTTAGTGGTGCGTTTAGTGGTGGGTGCGGTGGTGGACGGGTGCGGTGGTGGATGGGTGGGTGGCGTGGTGCGTTTAGTGGTGGGTGCGGTTGGACGGAACGGGACGACGGAGAGAGCATGGGCAAGTGACCCTCCTGACCCCGACGTCTGTTCACCCCGACTGCGGCCTTGCACCCCTTGAGCTCTCAATCGTCGCCGCAGTGTGAACACACACACAGAGGTCGCAACCGGGTACCCGATACCCGTACCCTACCCGATACCCGTACCCTACCCCATACCCTACCCCATACCCGATACCCGTACCCTACCCGATACCCGTACCCTACCCGATACCCGTACCCTACCCGATACCCGGCTACCCGTTTGCGACCCTGGTGTGGCCGGGTACGGGTAGGCCGTGAGTCACTGGTGAGTAGCCGTTTGTCACTCATTTCGGGTAGGGTACGGGTAGGGAACGGGTACCCGTACCCGGCCGGGTATGGGTTCCCATTTGCGACCCTGGTGCGGCCGGGTACGGGTAAGGAATCAAAACCCGTTTGCGACCTCTGGAACAAACACGCAGAGGCTTTAGTGAAACTAACAGATCGTTACTGACGTTGCCCCGTGCCTAGCTTGTGTGTTTGCGATGATTTACCTTCTAAAAGAAAACCTGGCCAGCGTGATCCGGTGAAGAAGAACCACCGTCTCTCTAACCCCCAGCGGCTCTTCGCTCACTTTCAAAGGCGAGGGGCAGGGTGGGGGGGGGGGTTGGTGCTTTCGGCGACGAGACGTCGTCATCGTCGTCATCACCGTCGTTGTCGTGATCAGTGTGCGAGTGTGAGGGCCTCCACAATATTTGAAACCGTTGGGTTGGGTTTGACAGCAGTGCGATGACGACGATGATGACGATGACGACGATGACGACGACGGTGACGACGACGATGATGACGACGATGATGACGACGATGATGACGACGATGATGATGACGACGACGACGACGATGACGACAATGACGACGATGGTGATGACGGTGATAATGACGGTGATAATGACGGTGATAATGACGGTGATGATGATGACGGTGATGATGATGACGATGATGATGATGATGACGATGATGACGATAATGACAGTGATGATGGCGATGACGATGATGACGATGACGACGATGTGATGCCGCGGCTATTACGGGGGTTCTCGAGTTGCGGGTCTAACGAGGGTGGGTTGGGTCGGGTGTGTGTGGGTGTGAGTGGGTGTGTGTGGCTGTGTGTGGGTGTGTGTGGGTGTGAGTGGGTGGGGGTTGGTAGGTAGGTGGGTGTGTGGGGGTGTGAGTGTGTGGGGGTGTGAGTGTGTGGTGGTGTGCATGGGTTGATGTGTGGGTGTGTGAGTAGGTGGTGGTGTGTGTGGATATCCGTGGGTATCTGTGTGGCGATGTGCGTGGGTATCCGTGGTTATCTGTGTAACGGAACGGGGGTGTGGGTGAGGGTGAGGCCCGCGCTAGCACCAGCAGACGCTAGCACCAGCAGACGCGTGCCCGCGGCGCCTCGTCCGACGAGTGCACCGTGTTGGGCACGAAGCCGCTCTTGACGCCCTCCCATCCGTCCTGCAGGGGGATGTGTCCGGCGCGCACGAGCGCGTAGATGTCGGCCGTCAGCTGCGTGAAGGCGCGCTCCACGTTGTCCCCGTCGCGCGCGCTGGTCTCCACGTAGCGCAGGCCGTGCTGAGCAGCGAAGCGCTCCGCCTCGCTGCGCTCCACCTGGCGGCGCTGCTCCGACAGGTCGCTCTTGTGGCCCACCTACCCCGGGAGAGAGGGGTAGAGGTAGAGGTAAAGGTTCACCACCCCCGGCGGGCTGCTGCTGGGGCAAGTGCGGTTAGTGGCGGCGGTGGCGGCTGTGGACACAAAGTTCAAAGTTTATTTTTCGATTTAAAGCTTCTTTCGTGACTGCAGGGATTCATCTTCTTGGTTCTTTCGGTAAAGTCACGTAGAAGGGAAGTAATAAAATAATAAAAATATAACATAATAAAAAATATTATTATATTATTTTATTATACTATTTTATTATTTTATTATGTTTTATTATTATTTTATTATTTCCCTTCTACGTGACGACTTTACCGAAAGAACCAAGAAGATGAATCCCTGCAGTCACAAAAGCTTTAAATCGAGGTGCAGCCCTGTGAGCCATTCGGCTCTTGAATCGGGTGCAACCACAACAAACAAAAAACTAAAACATGAACAAGAAAACATCTTAAAGTGAATATGTGACTGAGTGCAAACAGAAATCCAATAAAAGACAGCAAAATTTTGCAGAAAAAATCACCGTACACCAACGCTGTGTGCAAAAATCCCAGTGGGATGCAAGTCAAACAACAACAACAACAACCACAAGACAACTTAGATTAAGGCCATCAGTCTAACTCCGTACTACAACAAACAAACATGGCCAAAACAAAAAACGTTTCAAAAATCACCAAAATAAAGCCATAAAAGCGATGAAACGCGAAAGGTGAAGGTTGTGGTGGTGTAATTTCGATTTAAAGCTTTCGTGACTGCAGGGATTCATCTTCTACAGCTCCTTACTATTGTAATAAAGCTCTTTGAGACGACTTCTGGAATCCGTCTTTTATTCACTTTAGGTTACAGCTACTTCACTCTGCTGATAGGCAGCGTGAGAAGGACAGATAGAGAGAGGGAGACGCACTGCCACGTGGCAACTCGGAGCCCCGCTCCCGCGTGGCCCCTTCCTCCGTTCGTTCCCGTTCTGACCCCGTGTCGTTCGTCTCCACCCCTATTTAATACCCGGGTCACGTGGTACGTTTCCACCAATCCTCGTTAGCCTCCATGGAAACTTCCAGGCTCCCTCGTCAGCTCCCGGGACCACGCCCCTGACTCATCTCCCCATTGGCTGAGGCCAAAGCCAGCAGAACCAATCCTCTACTTGCAGCTGTCACCATGACGTCAGGGCCACGCCCCTGACTCGTCTCCCCATTGGCTGTGGCCAAAGCCAGCAGAACCAATCCTTGCAGCTGTCACCTTTCCATCACGTCAGGGCCACGCCCCCAGGCTTCCCCCATTGGCTGTAAACCAGGACCGGCAGAGCCAATCACCATGACGAGTTTTGATACGTCAGTGAGCCGGATATAGGCTCATATTACACTATTAACATTCCTTCCCTTTATTACTGCTAATCCTACTTCCTCCCTTTGTCGCTGCTAATCCTGCACAATGCACGGGCATAATATGACTTTGAAACCCCCCCCCCCCCCCACCTCCTACGCATTCCACAAGTAGTGACTAATCCCATATCAGCATTTTCCATAAATATGCTAAATTCCTCTGTTGATATGCAAATTCCTTTGTCAAGGCGCTCTTCCCCCTCCAACCCAGCTTAAATATACGCTGCCAAGCCTGGTGGTGCCCATTCAGACGCTGTTTTTCCGACAGACCTGTTCTTCACCTGAGGACGGCTGCTTGCGTTGTGGCCGAAACGTCGTGAGAATTGTATTATTTTATTATGTTTTATTTTTATTATTTCATTATCTCCCTTCTACGTGACTTTACCGAAAGAAGCAAGAAGAGAAAAAGGTTGTACTGGTGGTTGGTGGTGATGGTCACGGTGGTGAGTGGTGGTAGCAGCTATCATGATGGTGGTGGTGGTGGTGGTGAGTGTTGTTCGCAGCTATCATCACGATGGCGGTGGTGGTGAGTGTTGTTGGTGGCTATCATCACGATGATGGTGGTGGTGGTGAGTGTTGTTGGTCGCAGCTATCATCACGATGGTGGTGGTGGTGGTGAGTGTTGTTCGCAGCTATCATCACGATGGTGGTGGTGGCGAGTGTTGTTGGTCGCAGCTATCATCACGGCGGCGGCGGTGGCGAGTGTTGTTGGCGGCTATCATCACGATGGTGGTGGTGGTGGTGAGTGTTGTTGGTCGCAGCTATCATCACGATGGCGGCGGTGGTGGTGAGTGTTGTTCGCAGCTATCATCACGATGGCGGTGGTGGTGAGTGGTGGTAGCAGCTATCATCACGATGGTGGTGGTGGTGAGTGGTGGTAGCAGCTATCATCACGATGGCGGTGGTGGCGAGTGTTGTTCGCAGCTATCATCACGATGGCGGTGGTGGTGGCGAGTGTTGTTGGCGGCTATCATCACGATGTCGGCGGTGGTGGCGAGTGTTGTTGGCGGCTATCATCACGATGTCGGCGGTGGTGGCGAGTGTTGCTTGCGCCCCGCACCAGCATGAAGACGATGTGCGACGGCTGCGTGTGCATCCTCGCCTCCTCCAGCCAGTCCCTGGCGTGCTCAAACGACCGCCGGTTGGTGATGTCGAACACCAGCATGCCGCCCACGGAGTTGCGGTAGTACGAGCGCGTGATGGAGCTGGGGGGCGGGGGGAGGGGGGAGAGGGCACGTGACGTGGAACCGTCGCCGCCGACGTCACAATAACAACAACGGACGTCGTTTATTCGCTGCCACCCCCCATAACAATATACCGTGGCGACCACCATGGCAACCATCATGGCAACCATCATGGCGACCACCATGGCGACCACCATGGCGACCATCATGGCAACCATCATGGCAACCATCATGGCAACCACCATGGCGAACCACCATGGCGACCACCATGACAACCATCAGCACCGGGTGTGTGTGTGTGGTTCGTGTGATGTGTGTGTGGTGTGTGTGTGTGGTGTGTGTGATGTGGGTGATGTGTGTGTGTAGTGTGTGGTGTGTGTGTGTAGTGTGGTGTGTGTGTGTGTAGTGTGTGTAGTGTGTGGTGTGTGCGGTGTATGGGGTGTGTGTGGTGTGTGTGGTGCATGCGGTGTGTGTGTGGTGTGTGCAGTGTGTGTGGTGTGTGTGTGGTGTGTGTGGTGTGTGGTCTATGTGGTGTGTGGTGTGTGTGTGTGTGGTCTATGTGGTGTGTGCGGTGTATGTGGTGTGTGTTTGGTGTGTGCGGTGTGTGTGGGGTGTGTGGTGTGTGTGGTCTATGTGGTGTGTGCGGTGTATGTGGTGTGTGTGTGTGGTGTGTGTGGTGTGTGCAGTGTGTGTGGTGTGTGCGGTGTGTGTGGTGTGTGTGGTGTGTGCGGTGTGTGTGGTGTGTGTGGTGTGTGCAGTGTGTGTGGTGTGGTGTGTGTGTGGTGTGTGTGTGGTGTGTGGTCTATGTGGTGTGTGTGGTGTGTGTGGTGTGTGTGTGGTGTGTGGTCTATGTGGTGTGTGTGGTGTGTGTGTGGTCTATGTGGTGTGTTCCACGTGTGGTGTGTGCCGCGTGCTGTGGTGTGTGCAGTGTGTGCGGTGTGTGCGGTGTGTGTGGTGTGTGGTGTGTGTGTGGTGTGTGCGGTGTGTGTGGTGTGTGTGGTGTGTGCGGTGTGTGTGGTGTGTGTGTGGTGTGTGTGGGTGTGTGTGGTGTGTGCGGTGTGTGGTGTGTGTGTGGTGTGTGCGGTGTGTGTGGTGTGTGTGGTGTGTGCGGTGTGTGTGGTGTGTGGTGTGTGTGTGGTGTGTGTGGTGTGTGTGTGGTGTGTGCGGTGTGTGTGGTGTGTGTGGTGTGTGTGGGGTGTGTGGTGTGTGTGGTGTGTGTGTGGTGTGTGCGGTGTGTGCGGTGTGTGTGGTGTGTGGTGTGTGTGTGTGGTGTGTGCGATGTGTGCGGTGTGTGTGTGTGGTGTGTGCGGTGTGTGCGGTGTGTGTGGTGTGTGGTGTGTGTGTGTGGTGTGTGTGGTGTGTGTGTGTGGTGTGTGTGTGGTGTGTGTGGTGGGTGTGTGGTGTGTGTGGTGTGGTGTGTGTGTGGTGTGTGTGGTGTGTGTGGTGGGTGTGTGGTGTGTGTGGTGTGTGTGGTGGGTGTGTGGTGTGTGTGTACTCACTATCAGGTGTGTGTGGTGTGTGTGTGGTGTGTGTGGTGGTGTGTGGTGTGTGTGGTGTGTGTGGTGTCTGTGGTGGTGTGTGGTGTGTGTGTGTGGTGTGTGTGGTGGGTGTGTGGTGTGTGTGGTGTATGTGGTGTGTGTGGTGTGTGCAGTGTGTGTGGTGTGTGTGTGTGGTGTGTGTGTGGTGTGTGTGTGGTGTGTGGTCTATGTGGTGTGTGTGGTCTATGTGGTGTGTGTGGTGTGTGTGGTGTGTGCGGTGTGTGTGGTGTGTGTGGTGTGTGCGGTGTGTGTGGTGTGTGTGTGGTGTGTGTGTGGGGTGTGTGCGGTGTGTGTGTGGTGTGTGCGGTGTGTGTGGTGTGTGGTGTGTGTGGTGTGTGTGGTGTGTGTGGTGTGTGTGGTGTGTGCGGTGTGTGTGGTGTGTGTGGTGTGTGTGTGGTGTGTGTGTGGTGTGTGTGGCGTGTGCGGTGTGTGTGGTGTGTGTGCCGCGTGCTGTGGTGTGTGTGTGCGGTGTGTGTGTGTGGTGTGTGTGTGTGTGCGGTGTGTGCGGTGTGTGCGGTGTGTGCGGTGTGTGCGGTGTGTGTGGTGTGTGGTGTGTGCGGTGTGTGCGGTGTGTGTGGTGTGTGCGGTGTGTGTGGTGTGTGCGGTGTGTGTGTGGTGTGTGGTGTGTGCGGTGTGTGCGGTGTGTGCGGTGTGTGCGGTGTGTGCGGTGTGTGCGGTGTGTGCGGTGTGTGTGTGGTGTGTGTGGTGTGTGCGGTGTGTGCGGTGTGTGCGGTGTGTGTGGTGTGTGTGGTGTGTGCGGTGTGTGTGTGGTGTGTGTGCGGTGTGTATGTGGTGTGTGCGGTGTGTGTGGTGTGTGTGTGGTGTGTGTGTGGTGTGTGTGGTGTGTGTGTGGTGTGTGTGCGGTGTGTGCGGTGTGTGTGGTGTGTGTGGTGTGGTGTGTGTGGTGTGTGTGGTGTGTGTGTGGTGTGTGTGTGGTGTGTGTGTGTGGTGTGTATGGTGTGTGTGGTGTGGTGTGTGTGGTGTGTGTGGTGTGGTGTGTGCGGTGTGTGCGGTGAGCCTCTCACCGGAAGCGCTCCTGTCCCGCCGTGTCCCACAGCTGCAGCTTGATCCGCTTGCCCGGCTCGATCTCCACGAGGCGCGCAAAGAAGTCCACACCCACCGTGGGGTCCGAGATGTCCACGAACTTGCCCTCCGTGAACCTCTGCACGTGTGTGCGTGTGTGTGGACGCCGGTTGGAAACATTTAGGTTGGCCTGCCTACGATCCATCCTGGGTTTAACTAGGCTGGATTGTGTGAGGAGCTCACAAGTCCTTGAAAGATCTGGGCAAAGTCCCATCGGTGAGCTCCTCCGGCAGGCAAGGCTGCGTTGGCTGGGTCATGTAGCCCGCATGCCCAGCCACCGCATGCCTCAACAGCTTTTGTTCGGCCGGATCGAGGGGGCTAAACGGGCGCGGCACGGGCTGGAGAAGAGATGGAGTGATGCGGTACAGGAGGACGTGGAGCTGAGTGGACTTGCCGATGACTGGTACCAGCGGTGTCAAGATCGGCCTCTGTGGAGGAGGCTCGTGAAGGACGCTACTGGGCAGTTGGAGGCAGTCGCCCTCCAACAACAACGGAGGGCGGAGGAGCGACGCTCACAACAACGAGCGGAGCGCCGGGTGGCTAAAGCACAGCAAGTTGGTACAGTAGGGGGCACAGGTGGTGCATCAGCCAGTCGTCTCGGTCATCTCGGTCAGTCGACCCGTGGCACCTGCTGGGTCTGCCCCGTGACCTCCTGCCAGCGGGTGTTCGACACTTCACGTGGCCTCAAGGTGCACATGGCCTGGCACAAGCGTCGTGGTGACGTCACCGCCACTTAGTGGTGAATGGCGGTTGTTGTTGTGGACGTGTGTGTGTGTACGACGTTTCGATTGCAACACAAGCAACCATCAGGTACGAATGAATGAGAAAACAAACATAGTAAACTTAGAAATATAATGCAATACGACCCAGAGAGTCGGCGAACACAACAGTCAACACCCTACCTGGTTGATTAACGTTCTTCTAAAGAATTATAAATTTGAGAGACAAAACACAGACACGGAGACACACAGACAGACACACAGAGAGAGACACACACAGACACACAGAGAGAGACACACAGAGAGAGACACACAGAGACACACAGAGAGAGACACAGAGAGAGACACGCAGAGACAGAGAGAGACACACAGAGACACACAGAGACACAGAGAGAGACACACGGAGGCACACAGAGAGAGACACACACAGACAGACACACAAGTAGAGAGAGAACACAGAGACACACAGATAGGGACACACAACATAGACACACAGACAGACACACAAGCAGAGAGAGAGACAACACAGAGACACAGAGAGACACACAACATAGACACACAGAGAGAGACACACACATAGACACACAAGCACAGAGAGACACACACAGAGACACACAGATAAGGACACACAACATAGACACAGAGAGAGAGACACACAGAGACACACAGAGAGACACAGAGAGAGACACACAGAGATACACAGAGAGAGATACACAGAGACACAGAGAGAGACACAGAGAGAGACACGCAGAGACACAGAGAGAGACACACAGAGACAGACAGAGAGAGACACACACAGACAGACACACAAGTAGAGAGAGAACACACAGAGACACAGAGAGAGACACACAACACAGAGACACAGAAAGACAACACATCTGCGTCGAGACCTTAAATAGAGAGAGGGGGGTGGTGCAGAGTGGGGGGGGGGGGGTTTGGGGTAGAAAACGATGAGAGAGTTGTGTGGAATTCCTGCCCAAGTACGGAGAAAACTACTCTTTCTAGATGTGAAGCTTTCGTGACTGCAAGGATTGAAACTCTTTCGTTTACACTATGGGGACCTCATTTGCCAGTCAAAATATGATAATTGGTTTTTTACCCTTCTATCTGGCAACAAAACTGACACCTTTTTACAAGGAGTCATGTTTGCATAGACTACAATACCTGCAGTCATAATGCAAACAAAAAACACAACTCTGATAATGTGCACTGTCCTTGAAGTTGATTGGTCCACACCCGAGACAGCTTTCCTTAGAGCCTAGTCTCACATGGGTTGGACCAGATGACGCGGTCTATGCAAACATGACTCCTCATAAAAAGGTGTCAGTTTTGTTGCCAGATAGAAGGGTAAAAAACCAATTATCACTCTTTCGTTTTTTCGGTAAAGTCACGTAAGTAAAAAGTAAAATAAAATAAATGAAAACAACGAAATTAAATCACGACGTTTCGGGCACAACACGGGTGTCCTTCTTCAGGTGGGGAGAACGCAGCGAAAGCAGCAGCCAATTGGACACGCGATGAGAACATCACACAAAGATCCCCCGTGGAGCCGTAGCAGCCTCACCTTGAGCAGTGAAGACTTCCCCACCGTGGAATCCCCCACCAGGATGAGACGGAACTGGTAGACCCAAATCGCCTCCATCACGCACCGCTCACTCGGAGCCTCGCTCCCTCTCTGTGTGTCCGTCCGTCCGTGTGTGTGTCTGTGTGTGTCTGTGGGTGTCCGTGTGTGTCTGTGTGTGTCTGTGTGTACGCTGGACTTCTTTCGCACCGTACGTAGCCAACCGCGCTAATCGAAGGTGCGAGGAAAGGACATCAAACTGAACACAAAAAGCAGTGATCTGTGTGCGTGGCTGTGTCTGTGTGTCTCTGTGTGT